AGACTGAGAGTCGTGGATGTCGTCCCAAAATGTGCTGACGGAGAACTTTCGTCCTATCGCCACGCTAACACCACCTGAAAGGGCTGATAGCACAGATAGACCACCTGTACCATGGAAAAGCGGCATGCAGCAATACCATCGATCTCCATTTGGTCCGGCTTTCTGGTCAAAGGCAAGGGTTTGCGGATTTCCTCGTTCGTGGAAACGGTTTACCATGAACTTTCCTCCTTTTGGTAGACCCGTCGTTCCTGATGTGTACAAGAGACATGTCGGATCGGACCCCTTGACGTTCTCTCTGTACTGATCGCCGGGTACCTGAGTGCTGTGCTGCTGAACCTTGCTAATCAGGTCTCGATCGACCCGGAAAGCTGTGACACCCAACTCTTCCACTGTCGTCCTCACACCCTCGAATCGCTCCTGGCATCCCTCTTCCTCGTCAACAACCACAACCTTCACGTCCGCGACTTTGAGACAATGCACCAATCCTTCTCCTTTGAGGTTGTAGTTCAGGTGGGCAGGCGCGGCACCGATGGAAAATAGGCCCAACCAGATAACCATGAAGTCTGCGCTGTTCATCATGTAAGTAGCAACCATATCACCCGGCTTTACGCCTTGGGAAAGAAAGAAGTGTCCCCATTGGACGGCGCCATCGTGAACTTGTTGCCATGTGTACTTTTTGTCCCGCGACCAGATGGCTAGGTTGTTGCTGTAAAGTGGAACGTGGGTCGCGAAAGCGTACCAAGGGGATAGCCTCTTAGTTTTCTCTGTGTTGACTTAGCTCCGAATTGCGTCTCAACGTAAGTAAAGGTATCGCTGGGGCTACATACCGAGTTGCTCATAGTAGCTAGCTGCGTTCTTCTTGAACCTCAGTCCTCTCAGGTCCTGTGCAATGTGGTATTTCGCGTTGATGTAGGCTGCTAGCCCGGAAATAGCTGCTACAGATGCAGCAGCCGCTGTTGCATCCATCTTGACTGATCTCGGTCTCTGATTCCTCTTTCGTGTAAATGTTGGACGTGGGTGTGAGAGAGGCACTGGGAGTGAAAAGCTTCAATTCAAGGAGGAAACGCAATGGCCCGGTGTGATCGTCTTCCACAGTTGCCGTTTGTCGGTCCTACTGCTAGCTGAGTCCGGAGCTAATAAGATACCGAGGTCGAGTCAGTTTAGTGGGTCTTGCGAGACGCGTAGTGAGTGCGGGGGTGACCTAGCGCGTCGGACATTTGTACAGCGATTGCTTGTCTTTCGGGGAAAGCTTTGCGAGGCGTGGAGCGAAGTTTGACTTATGACGGTGATGTTTGCTGTGGCAGAGGCTTGTGGCTGAGATGGCTACAGATCACGGTCAATGTACCAACGATAACCACGATAATATCAGAAGGGGGCTACCCTTGCATACGGATGACAGCTATATTTCCTTTCTTATCTGAGAAATGTATATGCTGACCTATGGGTGTCATTCGACGCAGCTATACAACGGCTCGAAATTTCTCGATCGCAAAACGCGTCTTCCCAATATCTTGAACATGAACTTGGCATAACATGGCCATTGTCTTATTTGACTCCCTTCTTCTCCTTCTTGCCAATGTTCTCTGTGCCCGGTGGCACCTTGAGCCCTCCAAACACCAATGCGCCGACTCCGACCATGCCGGCAGCTCCGGTCGCATATGCCGTCTCGCGGCCCGCCCACCAGTAGAGGGTGCAGAAGATGAGGGGTCCGAGGGAACGTCCGATTTGACCTGATATATGTTAGTAGATGTTCCGATGGAGATGGGAGTCTTGGCTTACCGAAGCTCCGATGGTTGCCCAGCTTGTTGCCTCGCTCGTCTGCGCTCGCCTCGAATGACGAAAGACTGTTGAGGCCGGTAACGACGGTCGCGCTTGTTACGGCAAGAAGCGCAGCGGCCCCGTATAGTGCGCCCTGCGTCTGGACCCTTCCGAGCATGAGGAAGGCGATGGTGCAGCTTACCACTCCCATTTGGACCACCTTGAGAGGGTGCATCCGCCGCACTACGGATCCTTGGAGGAGAGACGCGACTAGTCCAATGAAACCAAGCAACCGGCCAGAGTCCTTGGCCTGGTAGGAGAAGAGGTCGTATGTCATGAAGGGTAGCGAGAACTCCATGCCGCTGAAGAATAGGATGAAAGTGAAGTGCGTAGCGTTGAGTAGGAAGTGCGAGTTCGTTCGGCCGCGAGATTTTGGTGCTTCGCTGCCTTTCGCATGCCCGTTCGTGGTGCCGTTCTCAGCCCTGCTCGCCGATGGTAGCGTCTCTGGGAGGCTGACGTAGAGGTAGATGGTCTCTGAGACGATCAAGAACAGGGAGAAGCCCGCTGCCATGGCGAACGGGTTCTTGTCCATGACTTGCAGTGTAGACAGGTATGCGCCCAGCGCCGGCCCGAAGGTGAAAGCGATGCTGAAGCACACGCCCACAAGCGCCATGGTCGAGCCTCTCTGGCTGTCGTCGCTGATGTCGGTCGCGATGGCCATGGCAAGCTGCACGTTGCCCTCGCTCAGTCCTCCCACCACGCGGCTGGCAAGGAAGGTGCGGAAGTCGGTCGCAGCAACCCAGAGCGCAACGCTGAAGATGTTGCCCACCATAGACCACAGAAGAGCTGTGCGCCTGCCATATTTGTCTGAAAGTGTTCCGATAAAAGGAGACGCGACTGCCTGGCACAGCGAGAAGAGCGATCCGAGTGCGCCGCCGAGCAGGACTATGTCGTAGCGGGAGTTGATGGGTTTCGCGAACGAGTTCTTGTACGCATTGAGGCCGGCGAGAATCTTGGAGAGGATCGTGTTCGGGTCTCCGGTTTCATGGTTACGGTAGAACTCGATGAGTTTGGGGAACAGCGGGAGGATGAATGTAAAGGATATCTGTCAGGGTCAGCCCACGCGAGCGGTTACACGCGACGGGGATGACGTACCAAGTCTAGCAGCAGCGAGATGAACAGCACCTTCAACACCCTCTTCCGCAGTGCCGGCGGTACCGGAGTCGTGTCTGAGCCCATGTCGAAGATGTGCGATGGTTATCCAGCCCAGTCGCAAGAACCCCGAAGCAGCGAATGGAGATGTGGACACAAGTAATCGGCGGCAGCTGTCTGGTTAAAAGCAGCGCAGCGAACGAATAGAGGGGAAGGGTCTAGTTCAGCTTGGACTGCAGACCCTCATCTAATGATACACTAGAAATAGAACAAGTCGCGAGTTGTGGTCATTGGTGGCAAGCGCCGAAGTGTATTCGGGTCATGACGAAGTTTGGCCGTACGCGGGTGGCTCTGTTTGTGAAACAGGTGGAACAGGTGGGCACGAACCACGTACTTGAAACACCACAAGAAAGTATCTGAGGCAGCCACGGCACCCATGCCCACATGGGCAGAGTCATTGTACTGGCATGCTGCGAAAAGGAGATGTGGCTTCTGTGAGCGCGCCATGGCTTGAGCAAGTATCGCAGGCGCGGATGCGACGCTCGAGTAGACAAGCCGAGGCAATGTGGAGCTTCACGTCGATCATCCATCCCCAGCATCACCCGACCAAGCCGATAGCGTACGTGTAGACGGCGAGCCTTCCGACATTCCAAATGGTCTACCAGAGATACTCGTAACATTCTACACTGTTCCAGGCTCACGATGGGCAACCCGGAGGCAGATCGGCTAAAGGCAATGGCAGCCGTACAGGCCATGTTCGAGAAGTACAAGCTACTTGCAGCTCGTAGGCCAAAGAACCACGTGGTACGGAGATATCGATACCATTCACGAAGCTACTATTAATTTTGACCAGGACTTCGACCGCGAAGTCATGCTGAATCTGGAGCTTGTGGATGCCACTCTCGATGGCACCGTTACCTACGAGTTCTTCATTGCGCCCAACCTATCCAACTTGAACAGTATGTAACTAGGTGTTGATCACTACCCGTAGCTGATATGCGGCAGACGTCATGCATGGAGGTGCTGCTGGAGTCATATTCGACATGTCAACAACGACAGCACTTTGTCCCCTAGCTCGGCCTGGCTTCTGGGAATTCATGGGCGGTGTTACACGAACCCTCAACATCTCCTATCTCAAAGCTGTGCCAATCAACACCAGAGTGCGGCTCAACAGCAAGGTAGTGAGTATCGGAAAGCAGATGGCCATGATCCGAGGCGACATGACCAGTCTGGACAGAAAGATCACATATTGTACCGTGGAGCACCACAAAGTGAACGCGCCCGTGATCAAAGAGCATCTAGACGTAAAGACAGCATGGGATGAGGAGTTTGCCAGGGAGTGGAAAGCGAAGGGACTAGAAGACGTGAAGAGTAAAATATGATGAACTTGCTCAGGCCAAACGCCGAGACATGGATTTTGTACACTTGCTTCGTAGCATGCTGTGACATCATTAAGAGTCTTTGCTCCATCGTGAATGTCGGCAAAACTGGTATCATATGACCTCCGTCTATTTCCTCTTGTTGAACTTCTTGGATTCTGTAATGGGTCAGTATCGTCCATACAGCCCGTCTTAGATGCATGGTGCTTACCAGCAGCAGTCCTCTTCTTCTTGGGCGCGCCCTTTCCTCTTGACTTTGCAACATTGAGGTGCTCTAGCCAGTCTTCCTCTTCTTCATCGATGATCTGGTGTTCGGGGTAGAGGCTTCGCAATTGACTAATTGTTCCTATCCGCGGCGGGTAGTAAGAAGCGACAGCGGGACCCTTGAGGCGCTGGTGCAGGATGCGCGATCCGAGACGGATGCGTTCGGGGTTGTATGTGGTGTTGAAGACTTTGCATTGGACCTGTTTATGTCAGTGAGATGAACGAAGACTTTGTCAGTAATCATACACACCCTCATCAGGTCCAAGACCCTCTGCCGTGGGACCGCCATTGTGCCTGCGATGCGGGTCTGGGGCGTTGCGGCGATATCTGAAATGTCGCGGAGGTGCCCTTGGCGCTCCCGACTAGCGCGACTGAGCCTCTCACCAACTTTCGAGGCACCAACTCGTCACCAACCACACACGCAAAGACTGACCACCATTCCTGGCTATGGCGTCGCAAAAACGTGGTGGGGGCTTCAATCACTATGGCTGGGACCAACAGCACAAGAGGCACCAGCCTCAGCCTCAGCATCGCAACGGCGCGAATCACAATTCACATCCACCGCAGCCTGAGCTCTCCTCCCAGGACATGCAGACTGGACTAACGGCTCTGCTGGACAGATTTGTCGCAGAAGAGGCGACTGTCGGGGCAGACAAGGATATCCTCCATCACGCGCACGAGCTCCGTCGCCTACTTTGCGCCCGGAACAACCCAATCTCTGCCAGAGCGAAGCGCGAGCTCGACGAGAAACGGCCTGACAAAGCAGTCAAAGTCGCCATACCCGAATACGTCGAGCGCAAAGTACGCGCCGCCCAGGACTTGCCTCCCTTACCGCCTATCAAAGAACCCCACCTGCACGAAGCAGTCTTCACGCATCGATCCGCCGTCTTCGACCCTAGCATCCCCGGCTCCACGCTCGGCGGTGACCTCAGTCTAGACTACGAGCGACTCGAACTCCTCGGCGACGCCTACATCGAACTCATTGCCTCCCGCGCTCTCTATAACCGCTTCCCACACGTCGACGTCCCAGACCTCTGCACCTGGCGCGAACGACTAGTCGAGAACTCGGCTTTGAGCAAGTTCTCCAACGCCTATGGGTTCCCAGACCGACTGAAGCATCGCTCTCAGTGGGACAAGAACTCCAAGCAATACCAGAAGGTCGTCGCCGACATCGTCGAAGCCTATGTCGCAGCAATCGTGCTATCCGACCCAGAGAACGGATTCGAGACGGCAGAGACATGGCTGACTGAGCTCTGGGCACCACAACTCCTCGGCTTCAAGGAGAAGATCATCGAGAATCCTCAAGCCAGAGACCAGCTCAACAAGCTTGTTCTCGGCAAAGGCGTCAAGCTCATCGCCAAAGAGGAGAAACCCATGACCTACGACTCGAACAGCGTGCAGTGCTACCACATCGGCATGTATCTCACCGGCTGGGGCTACGACAACGAATGGCTCGGCAGCGGCGATGGACAGAACAAGGTGCAGGCTGGTGTCGCCGCGGCCGCAGACGCCCTGAAGCGGAATAGCCCAGTACTGCAAGACGCTATACGGCAGAAAGATGAGCTGCGAGCCGCGCGCTTGAAGGAACAAGAAGAGAAGACTGTAGGAGGCACTGAACCGCAGAACATCCTCAACACTGAAGCGTCAAATGGTAAAGTGTCAGACGATCAGGACGCTACGCAGAAGAAGCGGAAAAAGGAAGACGAAGATGCACCACATGAGAAGAAGAAGCATAGGAAAGAGAAGAAGCACAAGGCTACGGCTGACAATGGCAGCTCCTGATCATGTCGTGTCACGGCGATTGTCAATACCCTTGCTCTCGGATTGAGCATTGCTGAGTACAATTGTTCACGTAGCTAATTCACGATGTCTTCCCATGTAGGCGATGGCCAGGTAGGTAGGTAGGTAGCCATCAAAACGTATCCTCCCGGATGCTCTCGTCATAATCTCCAGCATCCAAGGCCTGTCCCCCATCACAGCGATCCAAGACTCGACGCGAACAAGTAACGCGGCCTGCAGACGTCTCGTCCCTGTCACAATTATCTATACGCAAGAACACAACACATCAGCGCAATGGATGCCTGATCCCCTCTTTAGCAAATTTAGACTATGCATACTTAGACGAAAAGATCCGAATATTCAGTAGCAAACATCAAATGCAAAGATCCAATCCTCATCACTCACTATATTCAATTCTGATGTAACGCATTTCGCGCCTCCAGCTTTTACTTCCAACGAAGTCTGTGGTATGCCTGCCCTAAACGCCATGTTTTCCCAAAATCCTCCTCTACTTCTTCAGCGCTCGCCCAGCGATGTCCTTGCGATACTGCATCCCCTCAAAGTGTATGCACTCGACGCCCTTGTAAGCCTTCGCAACAGCTTCTTCCAGCGTAGGCGCCGTAGCCGTAGAAGCGATGACCCGGCCACCGGCAGTCTTGAGCGTGTTATCCGAGAAAGAAGTTCCGGCGTGGAAGAGGACGACATCTGTGTTTTCTTAGCATCATCACAACCTCCATAGATAAGAGGAAAAAAGAGACTCACCCTCAGGAACAGCATCCAGCCTCATAACCGTGCCCTTCTCATAACTCCCCGGGTAACCCCCCGCAGCCACAACAACCGTCGCGGCACTCTTGTCGGACACCTTAACATCCACATCCCCCAGTCTCCCCTCCGCACACGCCGCCATAACCTCCGCTAAATCCCCCTCCATAAGCGCCAGCAAGCTCTGCGTCTCTGGGTCTCCAAACCGGACGTTGTATTCCAGCACCTTGGCCCCGTTCTTCGTCATCATCAGCCCCGTGAAGAGCACGCCTCTAAACTCGAAGCCCTCGGCGCGCATGCCGTCGACGGTGGGTTGCAGGATCTCTTTGTCGACTTGCGAGAGCACGTCGGCGGGTGCGATAAGTGTGGGCGCATATGTTCCCATGCCGCCGGTGTTGGGGCCTTGGTCGTTGTCGAAGATGCGTTTGTGGTCCTGTGCGGGAGGGAGGGATTTGATTGTGCGGCCGTCGCTGAAGGTTAGGATGGATAACTCGTCGCCTTCTAGGAACTCTTCGATTACGACTTCATCGCCTGCGGTGCCGAATTCGCGGGTGAGCATTATGTCTTTGAGGGCGGCGTGGGCTTCTTCTTTGGTTTGCGGGATTATAACGCCTTTTCCTGCTGCGAGACCCGAGGCTTTGATTACGACGTTGTGGGAGATGGAGTCGAGATATGCTTTTGCGTCGTCGTATTTGCTGAAGTTTTCGTAGGCGGCGGTGGGGATGTTGTGCCGTTTCATGAAGTCTTTGCTGAAGGTCTTGCTGCCTTCCATGCGCGCGGCGGCTGCGCTGGGTCCGAAGGCTTTGATGCTGCTGAGGCCATTGTCGCGGAAGTAGTCGACGATGCCGGCGACGAGGGGGGCTTCGGGGCCGGGTATCAAGAGGTTGATGTTCTTTTCTTTGGAGAAGGCGACGAGGCCGGCGAAGTCGCTGTCTTTTACGGTGGTTACGTTGGTGACTTTGCTGGAGAGGGTTGCGGTGCCGCCGTTACCGGGGCAGACGTATATGTGCTCGATCGAGGGCGATTGCAGGAGTTTCCAGGCGATGGCGTGTTCGCGACCGCCGTTGCCGACTAGGAGAACGCGGAGAGATTCAGACATGGTGTGTGATGTGTGTACAATGGCTTGTTGCGTCGTGGGAGTGTTTGCGCCTGGAAATTTTTGGGAGCGCATGCCCCGCCGTGGGGTAGCATGCAGGGATCTGCGGGAGTGAGGTCACTCAGCCCTACCAGGTCCCTGGGCTGTCTCGTGTTTTCCTTTCATGACACTTGACTTGAGATACATTTACAGCAAAATCACGGCGTATGCCCCTGTTCACATTTCACCGTCGCGTCGTATAAGTGCTAAAGAATCAGAGTCTTCATGTAGGTTCAGCGGGGAAAGGTCATGACCAATGGTCAGATAAAGCTGGCATTCAGTCGAATGGTCTACACTATTGGATTACGATTGAAGACCTGGAATAGGGTATCGATGTAGTAATAGTGTACATACACTGAAACGTGCACTGAAAAGCAAGCTGACCCCAGTTCATACGACGATGGACCGGCCCTCATGTCGTCGTCCACAAGACTGCCGACATCGGCAATTGCACCTGCAACCTTTCTTGAGAGATCCATACCAATAGTCCTTCAAGCTCGCATCAAGCTGCAGTATCTGGATGGACACAAGAATATAGATGATCTGCCGATCTGTGCGCTCTTCGTGCGTAGCAAGCCAATAGAGTATGAAGATGGAGACGGATCTCATCAACATCCATGTAATGTCGTAGAGAAGGTGGCCAATGACAAATGACTATCCATCATTCTCGCGCTCAATACTGCGCTCGTGTTCTCTGACGGAATGACTTGAAGCGCTCCTGGGTGGCTCCGGAGCTGATTTGACTTGAGCGTCGAACTCCGAAGAGGGCACAAGCGTGTCGTCTGACTGCGGCTCTGCGGGCGAGCATTCGCGTTTGCCGAATAATTCCCGTTGCACAGCACCTGAAGTAAAGTCACATCAGCCAAGGCCATTGTGGTTTTGCTTTGCCTTCATGAAGAGCTGACCTAGCACGTCAGGCTGTGCTATGCCAGGGTTCTGCATGTATGGTTGTTGCTGATGCATGCTCGGCATATGTTGGGTGTTGTGGTTGTGTATGCTGAAACCGGCGTCTTGTTCGCGTTGTTGGCCGAAGAGCTCTCGTAGAGACAGTTGGCGGCCCATCGGGGCAGAGGAAGCGGGTTCGGCAGGCTCGTTCGCTTGTACGGCAGGCTCAAGGGCTTCGCGGCTCGCTCTTGCCCTGTCGGCGATGTCCATCATCTTGGCGGCAGTCTCGACACGGCAGTTGGCGGTGGAAGCTGGTGGTGGGTCGGCGAAGATCCAGATGCCGTAGACCTGCTCGCCCTGAATGATGACATAGGGATCAGATATCTCCATCTCTTCACTGCTAGTGAGCTCCTGGTAGAAGTTGTCTAGGCCGCGACGGTTGAGGATGATGGCGCAGTATCGCTCAGCGCCGATGGGCGAGGGAGTCAGCTGGCAGATGAAGAGAGTACCCTCAATGCCCATCTTCTCCCATGACTGCGTCTCGAGGTTGAAGGTATACAGCGCGGCGTAGGGCGTGACATGCTCTATGGCGACGAGGTCGGCGTACTCGCGACGCAGGACGGAGAAGTTGAGCTCTTCGTTTGACCGCGGCGGTGGGAGGGGCACGTCGACAGCAGGCGGCGCGTCCGTTTCGTAGTCTGACGGCTGAGGAGGCGGCTGGTTCTGGTTTGCGCGGCCTTTGCGGTGTGGCGCCATGACTGATATGGATGTTTGTTGTGGTGGAGGTGAAGGCGAGGGAGTGTGGACGGGATTGGTGTAGTCAGGCACCGAGCCCTGGAAGCTCCTGCCCTGCAGCGTGGGGTGTCGAAGAGCTAAGCACAGCCATGGCAGCCCGGCTCTTCACCATCGTCATTGCTAAGAGCGGACTGTGGCTCAACTGCCCGCTTAATCACACAGAGTAATCGCCATGGGATGACTGCCCGACATTCACGCAGACCCTGCATCGCCTCCCTGCAAACCTTCGCCGCGCATCCTCGCCCTCCGCCATCCTCCTTCACCCCGCCATGGCGCCCGACGCCTCTTCCGTGCGCTCCACTGAGCGCCTCGATGCCACCATCCCCGGCGCATTCGATCCGCGCACGCCGAGCATAGCTTCCATCACCACCCACCAGACATCGCTCTCGCAGGCGTTATACGAGCGCCGCGCCGAGTACACGCGACCGCGCAACGTGCGCATCAAAGTCGGCACCTGGAACACGGGCGCGCAAAAAGGCACCGAGCAAGACGTCGGCAAGTGGTTCGTCCAGGGCAAGGGCATTGAAGAGTCGCTCGCTGGGCTCGGCGTGTCCGACCCTGGAGAGCACGGCAAGGGCAGCAGAGAGAGCATTCCCGCCCAGGAAGCACGGCATAGCACATTAGAGCCTACTGTCCCCCACCGCGAATCAGGAGAGGTCCCAGGCAGAGAAGAGGTCGATATCTACGTGCTGGGTCTCCAGGAGATTGTCGACATCACTTCTGCCGCAGAGGCTCTGAGACCCTTCACCGACCCCTCCACGGCGAACAAATGGAAAGCCTCGCTGGAAGCTGTGCTGCCCAAGGGCTATCAGCTGGTATCAGAGCAGCAGCTCATTGGTCTGTGGCTAGTCATCTATGCCTCCCCAGCCGTCCTACCGCAGATCAAGAATGTTAGTACCACAAGTGTCGGCACTGGCTTGATGGGATACATGGGCAACAAGGGCGGTGTCACGACCCGCATCGTTCTGGGAGAGACAACTCGGCTCGTCTTCATAAATTCCCATCTGGCGGCTGGAGCGGACAAGTCATCTTTGGAGAGAAGAAATTGGGACGCTGCCCAGATCAACTCCCGAACACGCTTCGATCCTGTAATAGATTCCCTAGGCTCTTCGCAGAACACCGGTGAAGGTTTAGGTGACGAGGACTTTGCCTTTTGGTTTGGCGACCTGAACTATCGTCTCCATGGCATGCCAGGCGACGACGTGCGCCGCCTACTCACCATACATACAAAAGACTTGGACAAAGAAGAAAATGCCGGTCGTACTTCGACATCTGACGACTCCGGGTATGGCTCGAAGCAATCATCTGAAGAAGCGCGCGACGCCGTTCCTATGCCGCCAGAACTCGATCCAGCCTCACTGCAAACCACCATCTCATCCCTACTACCGCACGATGAGTTGCACCAAATGATGAAGAGCGACAAGGC